TGGCAGCCACGCCGGCTGCTGAAGTCCCTGCAGTTGAGCCCGCGTGAGGGAGGAGAGAGAGACTATGGTCTAGTACCATGCCCGCTCCACGATGGTTGTCCAAGGTGCTCGTATGGCTTCTGAGGCTTCTGAGAGGAGAGGCAGGGGTAGAAACTCCCTGTTACACCTCTTCACCCACCCATATAAGATGATTTTTTTAAAGGGAAGAGCCTGTGCATCAAAGAGCACATTGGACTTAGATTTTCAACAAGAATGGGAAGCCATTTGTAAGATGGTTTTTTAACTTGGCAGGGTGTGAGCAGAAAGCTTAATTGTTCTTTCTTCTGCCTCCCGAAGCCTCTGCTAGATCTTGAGAGCTCTTCTAGTCTTCGTCATGTAACCCAATCCAGTCCAGCCTGATACCTAACTTCGTTCTCTCATTCAGTGTAAGGCTTGCAGATCCCTAACTTTTGAGGGAAACCTCTGATGGGGAAGGAGAACAGGGCCTGCATCTTCTGCACTGCCAGCTGTGTCTGGATCTCCATGGAAGGGGCAGGGTGTGGGGCAGAGACTCTGGAGGGGAAAGGTCTCACTCCCCTGGTGGCAGATGCGCACAGGTTGGCTCCTTCTCTCCTGAGTAGGTTCTCTGGCAACCTTGACCCCCTAGAGTCCCCAACCACCGTTCCCTGTGGCTGTCCCCTCTGACCCCTCCCAGTTGCACCCACAAGTCCTCTCCACGCAGCTTCTCTTCGGGGCTCCTCTCTCCCTGTCTGTCCTCGTGGACAGGGAGTTGCATGGCAGCTCTTCCTGGCTCCCTTCCACAGCTCTCACTTGGTTCCCAGGTAACATTTCAGTGCCCATGATTGAACACAGCCAATGGGAACTGAAACCAAAACCCAGGCCAAGGTTAGAGGCTGAGCTGTCCTCTGACATACTCTGTGTTCTGGAGTTCACCATGTAAGGGAGCATTTGAATAGCTTCTGCTCCCTTTTAAATGGGCCGTCTGGTAGGGGAGGGTGTGTGGGGTGAGGGGGAGGTGTCAGGATGACTCTGACTCATTTTCCCCAGCCTGGCCACTGCCGAGGGGAGGTTCTGTCTGGTGGGGGAGGTGGCAGGCAGGTGGGATGGGGCCAGGGGCATGGGCACCATCACTGGCTGAACCGCCACTGAGTGACGGCCCTGAGTGTGGGGTTTGCAAAGTGGTGGAGTATTAGGAGGTTAAGACCAAGATCTTGGCCTGGAATATATGGGTTCAAATCCCACCTGTGCCCTGCAGGTCCCTGGGCAGGTTAGGTGACCTCATCTGTAAAGTGGGGGTGGTGATCTTAGCCCACCCCCACTCAGGGTGAGCTCCGGTCTTGAGTCCACATTCTCACCTGTGCACATGGTTTTATCTACTTCTCAGATCTACAGGGTGAGAACTATTGGGCCCATTTTCACAGGGAAGGAAGTAGAGGCTGAGAAGGGCTGGGATCACAGAGCAGGTGTTAACCTACATCTACTCCGCTGAACAGGCCTGGGCACCCTCTGTGACCCGTGGCCCTAATGGGCTGTGCCCTAGAGGGACTGGCTGTCAGGGCCAGGAAAGAGGTCAGCCTCCCGCCGCCCCCATGTCCCTAATAAAGAAACCAGGTCCCATGAAGGAAAGTGGCTTGCCTGGGGCCCTGGTCTCTGTGGTATAGTCCCTGCAGCCACTGAGCGCTATATAGGCAGGAGAAGGAGGAAGTGGCAGAGGTGCAGAGACGACTTCTCTGTTCAGACTTCTCTGTTCAGGCGGTGGGGATGTGGCAGGGCCAGGCCAGCTCATAGGCCTGCACAGTGGCTCACACCCAGACCCACCCAGAGGAGGAAGCTGGTGGACTATTGCCTGCCCCCGGGCAGAGCAGGGCACCCAGTCCCCCGCTACTCGGCCTTGAGGCTCAGGCAGGAATAAGCTTCCCTGAGCTGTGCTCCTGGGGCCTCGGGAGATAGCCCAGGGTGGCCATACCCCATGGATCACAAGGCCTGGGGCCCGCACCTAGCTTGAGTGGATCCCCCAGAGGAAGGGACTGTCCCCGCTTGCTGCCTGGCACCCCTAATCTGGGGTGGGTGAACTAGGTGCTGCATGGCAGGGCTGGGCTGTTGGGGCCAGTGCTCCTCCGGCCCAGCCCAGGCATCTGGTCAACCTCTGGGACCAGTAATTGGGACATGGTAACCGAGTAATTGCCCAAAATACCGCTTTGATTTGAAGTGGAGAGAATTTGAGCAATCGTTTTGCAAAAGTTAATTTTAAAAACTGTGTTTTGATGTTTCAAAACGTCAGTTACCAGGCTGTCTACGGAAGGACTGATGTGGGTATATAGCTCTGGGGCCGGGCCGGGCCTGGTTCAAATCCTCAAGTCTGCCTTTCACCAGTTGGGTGGCCGTGGGCAGCCCCTTCCCCTCCTCATCACCGTCTTTACTCCCCCGGGGTCTGTGTTGGGTTCACTAAGCCGATGTCTGTGATGTTCTTGGTGCAGGGGTGCTGGCTAAAGAGAGTTTTCACAAAGGGCAAGAATCAGGTGACAGAGGCTGAGGGTAGATGGGAGCAGGGAAGAGGAATGGAAGATGCCAGTGTGGGTCCCCCGGGGTGACTCTAGTGCCAGGCCTTGGACAGTGGGCCGGCACGACTGATAGGTGAATTGGTAGAATGATTGGTTCATTCATTTCCTTAACAGTATCCTGAGTCTGAGCCTCCCAGCTCTGAGCCCTGAGTCAGACCCATGCCTCCCAGGCGGTGGCCAGGGTAGGGTGGAGGAGGAGGGTGCAGCTGGGGGAGGGTGCAGGCTGAGAGGCGTCTGAGCAGCCCCTGGAGAGCCAGGCACTTCCTCGGAACATCCTGTGCTTGTGACCGTGGCTCACTTGGCCGCAGCGCCCCCCTGCAGCGCTTGCTCGGCTCAGAGAGGGGCTGGACTGGACAGAATCCTCGAGCCCGCGGCGCTGTGGGGACCTGAACTCCAGGGACCCACCTGCAGGGACCCTCGTTGCTTTTGCTGCCTCCAGAATGGCCAATGTGGGTTTGGTTTTGCTTCTTTTTCCTCCCTGGGGGCCTCTAAGAGGACAGAAGAAGGGATCTCCTGGGAGTCAGGGCTGAGCATGGGGCTGGGCTCCTGTCAGGGTCTCCCTGCTGTCTCTCCGAGGGGCATTGTGGAGGAATGACAGGTCCTCTGAGAGTCCCAAGTCTTGTCCTGACTCTGTGGACTCAGGTAAGCCCTCCTTCCCTTCTCTGGGCCTCAGTTTCCCAAGGAGGGAAGAGCACTGGACAAGACACTTCCCAGTTCCGGGTCTGAGGTGTTCCAACCTGAATGCTGGTGTCCAGCCCAGAATGATCCCTCATGGGGAGGCGCAGGGGGCTGAGGTGGCAGGTTTTTCTTCCCGTCTACCACAGACTCTGCCTTCGGGGTCCAGAGGGAAGGCAGAGGCGGAGGGGTGGAAAACTGTAGTCTGCTGGTTGGTGAGCAGATGGGCTACCCACGAAAGCCACGGAAATGGAGGCCTGGCCCAGTCTCACCTGGGAATGCCTGCCTGGACGGGGGACAGATGCCTGCCCCAGTACAGGCTTGCAGGAAGGTGGGGAGATAACTTCTTCCTGCGGGGGCCCCGGGTGGCCCAGACACCCTACTTGTCACCCTGTGGAAAGCTGAGCCTGGGCCAGGCCCTCACAGGAATCTCTAGGGATGTTTATGGAGGGGGCTAGGAGTGTGGGGTCCCAAGTGCCCTATAGACTTGGAGAGTTCACCCTGCTGAGTCTGCTGGGAGTAGGCTGGTGCGTGGGGCCAGTTAGAATGTCTCTGCCTTTCCCCCTGACATCTGATTCTCCTTAGGCCTTGAAGAGTAACACTCCTTTCCAGAACCTGGCTCAAATGCCTCTTCCTGCAGGAAGCTCTCCTTGATTTTGACTCCACCCCTGCTCCCCACACACCCATAAGGCTGAAGTTGAGGGGGAGGCAGAGAGCAAGAGAGGAAGCACCATGTCAAGTGTGTGTGACCTTGGAGCGACCCTGGCTCTCTGAGCTTGGTGGTATGGGGTGTGCCGGGTGAGGTCAGGGGAGCTGGGCCTCCTTTCCCAGTCTCTGAGGCTTTGGGATCTTCAGGAATAGAAAGGAAGACCCGGTGCTGGGTCTCAGGGCTGCCTGGGGTTGCAGTTGCTGATGGAGCCCCACCTCCTCCCAGCAGCTGCCTTGGAGTGAGCCTGTGTGCAGGGCCCAGGCAAGGGCAGCTTGGCCTGGGGGTGTCCTGGGAGACCTCTGACCCCTCATCGTCCTGGAAGACTCCTTCCCTCTCCCCATTTCCTGCAACAGCAGCTCAGACACACGTCCAGAATCCTTCAGGGGCGAGGAAAGTAGCCAGGTGACCAGGTCGGCTGGGCGAGGGCTGGGTGGCCAAGAGCAGCTGATCCTGAGCATTCTCCAAGATGCCCCACCCTGTTGCAGGGCGGGAGTGATGGGGCAAACTCAGATCTTGACTGGAGTCACCCTCCAGTTCCCACCTCCCCAGGTCCACCTGAGTCCAGCAGCGTCTGCTAGACAGCTGGCCCAGGTTCAAGGCCAGGCCAGTCACTTTTCAGTTGGGTCACCGTGGGCGAGGCCACACGTCACTTTTCTGTACCTCAGTTTCCTCACTCAGCTGAGATAAGAGGACTATCAGAAGGACGGCACGAGCAGTGCCAGGCATCCTGTAGTAAGCAAATCTGGGGGGCTGGCTGCTGTCAGGGGTCCTCAAAGGGGCCTTTCCCGCGTTCTGTCTTGTGTTGACGTGTCCTGGCCTGTGAGCCTGTGAGCTCTGACGCCAGGCGCGGCACCCCTGGCCCCGTCAGCCAGGCAGGGCTCACTGGGGCACCTGCCACCTCCACAGACGTGGGGGGAGCTCCTCTGGGCCTGCGTGGGCCTGGTCTGTAATCCCAAGAGCTTGAGCTCAACGGGGAGAGGAGGCAGGAGAGAGGCTGTTCCTGGAGACGGTGGGACCAACCTCGTGCTCATGCGTTCCTCTGTCGTGTGTCACAGTGCAGGGACTTCACGGCCCACACGGGCTACGAGGTGCTGCTGCAGCGGCTGCTGGACGGCAGGAAAATGTGCAAGGACGTGGAAGAGCTGCTGCGGCAGAGGTGAGCCGTAGGTGGGCCTCAG